GACGAGACACACATTTGGCATGTAATGCTGTTTGAATACAAGAAAAGAAAAACGCTTCTGTAGCCACAAAGAATATCAAAGAAGTTTAATGGGAACACATATGCAAATGTGGAAGGTGTTAAAGGGGACATCAACATGTTTTTTGCTTCAAAGCCAAGCAATTTCTTTCATCAGGGCATTAACAACCTGATTGCAAGATGTAAAAGTATCATCGATAATAATGGAGACTATTTCATTTAATAAATGTTTTGTTTAATATATAAGTTGTTCGGGTTTTTTTCATTTAAAAAACAGTGACATTAATTTCTTTATGACCTAATATTTAAACATTCCTTATTAACCTAACCTAATCACAGATTAATTTTAATTGTTAATGTGGAGATGATCCAGAAAAGATATCACAGGGAACAGGATTAAATTGCCTTTGTAAAATATATGCTTAGACTTCTGTTTTTACTTTCTTACAAATGTAGTAGTTAAATAAGCAACTGAATAAGCTAAAATTAAAAATATGTGAGATGTGCCTTAATCATTACTGGAACAAGCAATGTTACATCACAAGTAGAATTAAATAAACACAACTAGATTCAGTGCTATATAAAGCTGTATGAAAAATAGCAGTTCTGTTTTTAAACACTAGAATTACAACATAAAAATTCTAATTAATAGCTACAACATTAGCTTGTGCATACTGTTGTTTAACACATTTACTGTATTCAAGTGAGTGCAGATATGTGCAAGATCTATTAATTGCTTATAAATTCAAAATAGTTTTACAGTACATATCCTCACATTTAGATAATGTCTAATATACTAAACTTAAAAAAAATGTTAAACTAAACAAGTATTTTTTTTAGTGATATGTCATAACGATGAAGGATGATTCGGATTATTTGAACATAATTCAAAAGTTTCTCACCATTCTTACTCTTTTAATCTACACACATTGTTTAAACTTTGAGTTCAACTAAAAAAATGACTAAAATATCAAAGTAATACAAAAATTGAATAGAAACTAGGCACTGAAGAAGAATATTCAGGAACCTTTATTAGAGCTT